GGGATGGAGGGTGTGAGGGGATGGGGTGTGTGAGGGGATGGAGGGTGTGAGGGGATGGGGTGTGTGAGGGGATGGAGGGTGTGAGGGGATGGGGTGTGTGAGGGGATGGAGGGTGTGAGGGGATGGGGTGTGTGAGGGGATGGAGGGTGTGAGGGGATGGGGTGTGTGAGGGGATGGAGGGTGTGAGGGGATGGGGTGTGTGAGGGGATGGAGGGTGTGAGGGGATGGGGTGTGTGAGGGGATGGAGGGTGTGAGGGGATGGGGTGTGTGAGGGGATGGAGGGTGTGAGGGGATGGGGTGTGTGAGGGGATGGAGGGTGTGAGGGGATGGGGTGTGTGAGGGGATGGAGGGTGTGAGGGGATGGGGTGTGTGAGGGGATGGAGGGTGTGAGGGGATGGGGTGTGTGAGGGGATGGAGGGTGTGAGGGGATGGGGTGTGTGAGGGGATGGAGGGTGTGAGGGGATGGGGTGTGTGAGGGGATGGAGGGTGTGAGGGGATGGGGTGTGTGAGGGGATGGAGGGTGTGAGGGGATGGGGTGTGTGAGGGGATGGAGGGTGTGAGGGGATGGGGTGTGTGAGGGGATGGAGGGTGTGAGGGGATAGGCTGGCAGATTTTGCGTGCTCCAGCCCTGCGGGAGGGAGGAATGTGGAGGGAGCCCCGAGCCTCAGGGGCTGGATGAAGGCAAGCTTTAGGTTCCCCACTCCTGAGCTAATGAATGCAGGATGTTGAAGATGATGTTTTTATTTAAAAATACAAGAAACATTGGGTCAGTTGGACCATTAAAGCATGTACGGTAATTCAATTATTTGAAGGGTTCTCAAACTCTCCATAATATGGAGATCTTAACACAAAGAATGCGAACATTCCCTTTCCTCTTTATGAGTTTGCAGATTACTTCTCCCATTTTTCTCTATAGGGAAACTACAGCAGTTGCAAAAAAGGAAATAGAATACTGGGAAAGCAATATATTAACTGCATTTCAATGGACTTTGTCACCTGAATTAAGGAGACTAGCCTGCCTTTCATGGACCACTAGTAAGTGCTCCACTGGTCTACCAGTAGTCCATTAATCACAGTTTGAACTGAAGTGCTATTTTCTTTTAATCTATCTATTTATCTGTTGGAAGGATATGTCATTTTATTTGAATATAGCAACCATAAAGTGGTTCTGTGTTTTCCAGTTCTCTTATAGGCCACGTTACTAGAGATGCACCTCAGGTACAAAGTTATAATTTAGCTCCTCATAGGAACTTTTCCAGAATGTGGGATGGTTAGATGTATTGATTTAGTGTTTTGAGCCTGATCCAAAGCACTGTGAAATCAACACTGGACCCTTCCTAATCATAAGAAAATTGGATCAAATATAGGAAAGTTATGCATAATTATAAATTATTTTTGAGAACTCCTTGCCTTAATAAAACCTTTCTTCCTTGATGTTCAAATGCTCAAAGAAGAGTGTATTTAGAAATAAATGAACACATATATTCTGACAAACAGAAAAAAATAGCAAGTGGCAACTACCAAAAATGTTTTAAATTTGGAGCACGGTGCATGAAGTCCCATGGTTAGAAGCTTATAATACCCATCTTGTATTTTATTTCCTGATAAATGGAAGACTTCTGTTTGAAAGACACCTGTCACCCAAATTACATTTGAAGCTCAAATTAATCAGACCAAACGATCTGTAAACCAATCATTGAAACGAGGAGTAATGGTAGTTCGGACTAGGAAGCCTAGTCCGAACTACCTAGTCCGTGCCGCGTGTAGCTGCGTGGCAAGGAGTCCGCACTAGCGGCCATTTAAAAATGGCGGCGCCCAGCTTTATGCAAATGAAGCCCGGGAAATTCAAATCCCGGGCTTCATTTGCAATTCCGGTTGCCTACATTACCACCCTAGTTCGAACTAGGGTGGTAGTGTAGACATACCCTTAGAGCGAGCTGTTTATATTGATTGTCAGCTGATAAAAATGTACTAAAGTACTCTAGGTTGTCACCTGTGAGAGCTTGTGAGAACTTGCCAATGGCAATGACTTTTCAATAGAGCATTGTTAGGGGGTACGGCCCAGTCAAGGGGCTCAGCCCCCTCCTACCGGGCCTGTACAGTCCCCCAAAGTCCCAATGTAAAAGTTTAGGCCCTTTTATTAGGGCATATACAGTAACCACAGTCCCAATGCAAAAGTTTAGGCCGTTCTATCAGGGCATATACGGTAACCACAGCCCCAATGCAAAAGTTCAGGCCCTTTTATTAGGGCATATACGATACTAGAGGCCTAGCCGCTCTGAGAAGG